GGCGGCTAAGCAGAGGAGCCCATCCAGTGGGGTAAGGGGTGGTACCCAGGCCTTGGAGTGATAGGCCCCGCTCTCCCCCTTCTCATTTGTAGAAGATGTTGTTCTGCACTCGGAGAGCAGCTCCCTCTCAGAGTCTGGGGCCAGCCATGATAATGGTGAGGACTCCTATACCCCAAACCTGCCCACAACCCCTCCTGTGTCACCCCAGCCCCTCCTTTGATGCTCGGCCCCTCCCCTACTTCTTCAGCTCCTACTTTACCATGCCCCATCTTCCTGCAGGCCCCCCATCTTCTTAGCTTCACCCCACCCCTGCCCCTCAGCCCCAGGCAGCCCTGCTTGTCATCCCCTTCCTTACCCTTTGTGCCCTGCCCCATCCCTTAGCTACTCCTCAGCCTGCTTAACCCTGTCCCAGCACTTTGCCCCTCTCCTACTTCCCTAGCCTCTACCCTTTGCTTTGCTCCTAACCTGTGCTGCCCCTCTGGGCCCCCCTCTCATTCTACCCCACTTTCTTTCTTCCACTCAGAGGAGCCCCGTGGCTGCTTCTCTGTGGCCGAGCGCCCCTCACCACCCAAGGCCTGGGACCAGCTTCGGGCAGTATCTGGAGGAAGCCCTGAGCGGCGAACGCCATGGAAACCACCCCCGTCAGATCTTTATGGAGACCTGAAGAGCCGGCGGAACTCAGTGGCCAGCCCTACCAGGTGAGGATGAGCCCCTTCCTTCCCTTCCCCAGGAGCCAAGAATTGGATCCTGAGCCCGGGCTGGCAGGAGGGCCTGCTGGTGAGTACAATCTCTAACCTGGGCCCCCACCTGGGCCTGCCTGTTTCTGTCTAGCCCCACACGCTCGCTGCCCAGGAGTGCCTCCAGTTTTGAGGGGCGAAGTGTGCCTGCTACCCCTGTCCTCGCCCGGGGCACTGGCCCCCAGCTCTGCAAGTAAGGGGACTCTGAGGGTGGGGTTGAGGATCAGAGGAGGGAACTGTTAGTTCTCACTGGAGGTGTTGAGGAGAGCATTATCAAAAGGTATAAGATATGGGAGGCTGGGCTTTGAAAGGTGAATAGGAGCTGTCTTGGAGAAAAATGGGATGGGGATTTGGGGCAGAAGTATGAAAGTTTGAGTATGGGCTTTTCTGTGCATTTTGGACAAGTCGTTCCCCTTCTCTGAATCTTTGTCTCTTCATTTGTGAAATGGGCAAGTATATATGTGCCTTTGAAAGACATAGGCATAATAAATTCTGGTTAGCATGCATTGAGTGCCTGCATCTGCTAGGAATCAGTGTTTTATGTGGTATCAACTCATTTAATCATCACACGATCCCTATGAGGTGGATACCCTTTTATTTCCATTTTATAGATGAGAAAACTGAGGCACAGAAAGGTTAAGTAACTTGTTAGTAAACTGAAGTCCTGGTATTTGAACCCAGGCAAGTGTGACTCTAGAGTCCATGCTTTTAACCACTATATTCTACTACTTCTTAAACAAATACTAAGTGGTTACTTTTCCTGGGCTGTGAACAAAAGTCCCTGTCCTTGTGGGGCTTGCATTTTGTGAATGGTGGCTGTTGGGATGATAGTTTTGGGTGGTTCATACACATGATGGAACAGAGGGTTCTTAAATTCCAGGCCTAAGGACTAAGGCCTGGAGGCATTGAGGAGCCATGAGAAGGGCCTTGGCTGAGGGGTCTGATGTATGAGGAAGAGCCCTTTGTCGGCCTCTTCTCTGTTAGCCCCCTCCTCTGCTAGCGTTTTTTCTTCAGCCCTAGGCATATTTACATCTCCCTCAGAGCTAACAGCCCCAGACCCCTCCATGCACTTCCAATGCCTGTGCCCCCTAGTCTAGGACAGAACCTCGGCTGCCCTTTATATGCCATTGCCTAACGCCTTTATACACACAGTTTCCAGTCCTGGGCCCATTTTGGAGACGCAGAAGTGAAGGCTCTGAAAGAGACAGGGTAGGGAGGGCGTTCAGACAATCTGCCTGATTTTTCTAACCCTACTCCCATTACCCTCACCTCTGCGCCCCAGACCCGAAGGCCTGCACTCTCGCCAGTGGTCCGGCAGCCAGGACTCCCAGATGGGCTTCCCCCGGGCGGACCCTGCCTCCGATCGTGCCTCCCTCTTCGCAGCTCGCACCCGCCGCAGCAACAGCTCGGAGGCCCTGCTAGTGGACCGGGCAGCTGGTGGAGGAGCCGGCTCTCCACCTACCCCCCTGGCTCCCCCTGCTGCCGGCCCCCCAGTTTGCAAGAGCAGTGAGGTGCTGTATGAACGCCCCCAACCAACCCCTGCCTTCTCCTCCCGCACAACCGGCCCCCCAGACCCTCCCCGGGCTGCCCGGCCTAGCTCAGCTGCCCCTGCCTCCCGGGGGGCCCCCCGGCTCCCTCCTGTGTGTGGGGACTTCCTCTTGGACTATTCCCTGGACCGGGGCCTGCCCCGAGGTAGCAGCGGGGCAGGCTGGGGGGAGCTGCTGCCTACACCTGAGGTCCCAGGACCCCTCACCCGCCGGGACGGGCTCCTCACCATGCTCCCTGGCCCACCACCTGTGTACACAGCTGACGGCAGCAGCCCCCTCCTCCGCAGCAAGGACCCCCACACCCGGGGCACCCGCATCAAGCCCTGTGGCCTGCCCCCAGATGCTGCTGAGGGTCCAGAGGTGCATCCAAATCCTCTGCTGTGGATGCCCCCACCCACGCGTATCCCCCTGGCTGGGGAACGCAGTGGCCATAAGAACCTTGCCCTGGAGGGGCTGCGGGACTGGTACATCCGGAACTCGGGCCTGGCTGCGGGGCCCCAGCGCCGGCCTGTGCTTCCTCACATGGGCCCGCCACACCCACCCTTCCTCCAGGCCCGCTGCTATGAGGTGGGCCAGGCGCTGTACGGGGCCCCCAGCCAGGCGCCGCTCCCACACTCGAGGAGTTTCACGGCGCCCCCTGTCTCTGGCAGGTATGGGGGGTGCTTTTACTGATGGGTGGGGGTCTCTTAAGGCAGATGGTGAAGATCTCCAGGCCCAGGAGCAGCTAGTCATGATAGCTAATGTCTTGGACAAGGAAACTAGCTGCAGCATTGGCACAGGGTCCGTGTACAGTGCATGACCTGCATTAGTCCGTGGGGTGCCGGTGGAGGGGGATCTTGGTCGCTGGTAGCAGTATTTCTTTACTGAGCTATAGAAGAATTTTAATACTTTAACAACCAGTGCATGTCAGCTGAAAATGAGCCTTGAAGCCAGGGTGCCAGGAGGAAAGGATATCTTGTGCCCCTTGCCTTTCTCTTCCCCTTTTCTCCATGCCCCATGCTTGGGAGCCTGAAGGTGCTTTCCTTTTCCTTTGCCTCTGCCTCTGCCTCTTTAACAAGCCTCTCTTCCCCTCTCTTTCTGTGTTTTGTCTGTCTTTTCCTCTCTTCTCTGTCTTCCCCACCTTGTCCTCCGGATTCCCGCTATCCTTTCTAAAGATACTACGCGGACTTCCTGTATCCCCCGGAGCTGAGCGCTCGCTTAAGTGACCTGACGCTAGAGGGGGAGCAGTCCTCCAGTTCTGACCCCCAGACCCCTGGGACATTGGTCTGAACCCTTCTGATATCCCCCTTGTTGGTCTGGGCATGACTCCAGTCTGGGGAGCACACAGCTGATCTCACTGAACCCTGGGGTATGGTTCTCAGTCCTGGGGGCACCAACCTGATCTTCCAAGGCCGCTGGTTCCCCGAGGGCCCAGGAAGGTGTCTGACACCTTGCTTCTCCTCTCACACTGTGCTGGGGACTGGGGGGCCTCAGTCAGCTTAAAAGGGGGATGATGTCATGGGGACTCCAAGCCCCTTCCTCCATTTCTGTTTACAGTTGTGGTTTAGGTATTCACTGTCTTCCCCAACACTAGGCATTTTATAAAAGGGAAACTGTGGTCTCCTTCTAGTTGGGTTCATTCCTGTCCCCATGCTGAGCCTGTTCCAAACAGGAACCCCGTCCACAAAATGGACCATATAGGGTCTCAGTACCCTGCTTGGGGCAGCCAGGAGACTGGTTTGAACAGAACTCCCTGACACCCCCCACCAGGGCAGTTCTTGGGGAGGTGGGCTCTCTGCCCACATTTGGAAGGACTGAAGTCCGGGTGGGGCACCTGAAGGAGCCTGTCCCTGCCTGTGCCTGCAGCCTCTGCCCTGACCATCCCCAATCAGAGGCCCGGCAGGAGGGGCACAGGGCAGAGTCTTTGGATGTATTGTGTCCTGGGATGCTGTGGAGGTTGAACCTGGCATCTGGTAGATGCCAGTAAAATCCTCAGGTGACATCTGGCCATGGCCCACAGGCCATGTCACGTCTTCCTTGGCTTTCTGTCCATTTACTTTTTAAACAAATCCACACAAGCTGTTTTCTATACCTGTCTTTCTGGAGCTGGGGGTTCTCCTACCCCCTTTACCTGGTGTTAAACTTTTCTTTTTGTACCAATGGATCTGGGCCCAAGACACTACCCACACTGGAAGGGGATTTCTATAATAAATGTGTAAACTGAACCCATGTGTTGCTCCTCTATCTGCCTTGCCTTGGGGGCCCATACCTTCAGACCAGATAATCATGTTTTTACAGGGTTAAAAAAAAAAAAAAAAACCTATGGAAACAGTCTGTGGTAGTGTCAGGCTTTTGACTTTACTTGCTTTGTGATGTGAGACTTCTTTGCCAGCCAACCTCAAACAAGAACCCTTGGTAATACAAGTAATGATAGTAAACACCCTATGCCCTTAGCTTCCCTGTGCGTTTTGTTTTGTTTTCGGTGGCTGGCTGGTACAGGCATCGAACGCTGCCCCTTGGTATTATCAGCACCCTCTGCTAACCAACCGAACTAAGCAGCCAGCCCTCCCTGTGCTTTAATACTGATTCAGAGGTAATGATTTTGAGAAGGGCCTTAGAGATCAATTCCTTCAGCCCACATATTTGACAGACACAGGAAGAGTCTTTAGGAGAATTAAAAAGCAGAGGCCACGTCTGTCCATTGAAATGCACAAAGACTTTGCCCAGGAGGCCCGAATTGGCTTAGATGCAACAGCCTTTATTGTTGCGGCAACACTGATATATATGCCCCATTCCCAGTTGGAGCCTATCCCCGGACACCCTACCCCTTGGTCCTCACCACTATGGAGCATTGCAGGGAGGGGCAAAATCCCTAAGCAGAGCTGGAGGGAGGTAAGTGGGACTGGTGAGTGTTGGGGTCACCTGGGACCAAGGATTCAAACAGAGGGTACCTGGCTCCACCCAGATGGGGGGCTGGGAACACTTGGGTCTTGGGTTCAAGATTTGGTAATTCCTCGACTCAGGTTCAAAACTGGGGTGGGGTCTGGAAAAGCCTTGGTCCAGAATTCAACATTTGAGAATGCTTTGCCCCAGGCCTCAGCTTTGGGGCTGAATATTGGAGAAGGGTGGGTCCCAGATTTGGTTTGGGGGAGTGTCTCTGAGTCCACAGTTTGCGATTGGTCATGGATGCTCTGGTCTCAAGCCCCAGTTTTGAAGTAGGTGGCTCTGGGTCCTAATTCAGGGTTAAGGAAGACTCTGGTCCCTAGGTAACGGAGGCTGGGTGTGAGGGATATCCTAGTTTTCGGGTGGGATTGGGGCAGTACAGGTGTCCTGGTCTTTTGACACAGCCGAGGGGTGGGGTGCTCTAGGCTCCTACTTTAATGGTTGGGAGACGGCTCTGGATCCCTGATACGAGCTAGGGATGTGGTGTTCTCCAGGTCCTGGATACGGATCCCAGGCCCCTAGGATCCAGCCTCCTGCTCTTGTCCCAACGCCTCTAGTAGCAGCCCCATTGGCGTCCGCTTGAGACCAATGCTCTCAATCTTGTTCTCAATCTTGTTCTTAAGGTTGCGCAGACGCAGCGACGCGTGCACCAGGATCACTGTGGGCGGTACCGAGAGTAGTGGGGTCAGTGGGATGGGACCTCATCCTGCAGCCTATCGGGGCCCAGAGAAGGTAATTGGCGCGCAGGCAGACAAATGGAGTGGTGAGTGGGCAGGACGCCTCTGATCGAATGTGTCGCAGAGTAATTCGCTTTGCAACGGGGACGTGGCTAGTGGAAGGCACTTAACGCCGTGAGACCGGGAAAGGCGCTAATAAGAGTAGCGTACCCCGAAGTGGGGAATGATGCCCGAGAAAGCGTTTTTAACGGGGGTTTGGCCATGCCCTCCATGTTTCCCAGCCTCCCTCTCGGCCCAGGAACCAGGGCAGGGTGGGCCTGGTGCCTTTAAGCATGCGCTGGCCGTTTTCCCGGCTATCTCGGGGCAGTGGAGACTCACGAAGCACCGGCCCGGCGATGCTGAGCAGGAAGGTGCAAGCGCCGCCCACGGCCCAGAGAACGAGGAGACCGACGGCAAGCACTGCGGCCAGGCAGGCGGCGGGGTGGCTGCGGCGGCAGCGACGCACGGCCGCGCGGGTCTCAGCTGCCCACACCAGCACGCCGAGGGCCACCACCACTACCAGCGCGCTTAGGAGCGTGTGCAGCGGGCGCACGTACCTGCGGGGACAAGGGAACTAAGCTAGCTGGAGAGGCGGGGGGAGTGCCGCCCGGCCTCCGAGCCTCCAGGACTACCATCCACCCCTACCATCCATCCGATGATGCTTTGCTTCCCGGTCTCTGAACCTTCCTGTCCGGCAGATATTCCCGCCAGCCCCGTCTCCAACAGGTCCGTCCTCCAGGGCTTCCGACTCCTAAGACCTCTGTGGACCCTCATTTCCTCCGTATCAATCCTACAGTCCCATTTTCTTGAGGTCCCCACTTCAGGCTTTCCCATCCCGCTAGACCCTTGGGGCTCCCAACGCTTCCCTGTTCTTTCCTTTTCTATCCCTGCAGGGCCCCTCTTCAGTCCTCCCCCCAACCTGCCGTTAAATCCCCCCTTTAAGCCCAGCCCCTGCAGATACCTCTTCCAGGCTTTCTGCCTCCACACATTTCCCTCTTCCCAAATCCAGGGTCCTTACAAGACTCCCTTACAGGCTTCCTCCCCTTCAAATGCCTCCTCCAGGCTCCCGTCTCCCTATGGAATTCCTTCCACTAAAATTGCTAGAACCCCTTCCAGCCCTGCCCAAGTCCCTCCTCCAGATTCTCCATACCTCTCTGGTCTCAGGTTTTCCAATCCTGGGTCCTCCCTCTGGGCCGAAGTTCCCCAACAGGTACCTACTCCGCGCGCGTTCCAATCATAGCCAGGTTCCCCTCCAAGACCAGATCCGCCACAAGTCGACCTTCTAAACCCTTCAACTTTACCACGTCCCTGTCACTGTTTCTGCCCTAATTCCTCCAGGGCTGCCTTAATATGGCCCCATCACTCACATTACCACCACCACTACCACCCGCCCCCCCGCCCCTAGGTACTCTCATATCCCCTTTTTGGGCCCTCCTTATCTTCAGGTCTGTCTACCAGCCCACTCTCCCCTTCAGTACTATACTTTTCTCCATCCCCCGCAGGCCCTCCTTATAACCAGGTTCCACCTCCTTCAAGTCGCCCCCCTTCCATGCCTCTCAGGCCTTCCATCTCTACTGAATTTGTCCTTCTCGGCCTTACATCCCTCTCGGGTTCCCCCTCTCGATTCTCAAAGATCCCCGAACCCACCCTCCATGCCCTGCAGGCGTCCCGGGCCAACCGTCACCTCCCTCCGTCCCTCACCCGGCCAGAGCGAGACCGAAGCAGAAGCAGAGAAGGTAGTTGGTTTGGTAGTAGAGGAGGTTGTTGATGACGCGGTGGCACCATCGCTGCGGGTCGTGTGGATCCGGAGCCGCCAGACGCGCCGACCCCAGAACAAAGTCGTCCAAGGCGCGTAGCGGTGGCAGCCGCACGTCCGACATCCTGCCGGTCGATGTTGCTGGACCAGCCAACAGGGCGGCCAGACTACAACATCCGTTACACCCCGCGCCATCGCGGCGCACACTGGGAAATGGAGTTTGTGCCGGATAGTTACTTTCCTAACGACCGATATGGACTGCGCAGGGGCGGTAACGCACGTGACCGGAAATGCAAATAACATACCATACAGCGAGGCAGCAAGGGCTGCCGGGAAATTAAGCCTCCGCCACGGGCAAGGCCCTCCCCATCCTTCAAACGCTTATCCACCCCCGGGCGGAGCACCTCTGGGGACTGTTCTGGGCAATGCTGGCAGCTCAGGCACACGATAGCCAGCCCGGCAGAGATAAGATAGCAGGGGCTGTCAGAAGGACCCAAGCTGGACTCCACATCCTTCCTGTCAGGGTCCAAGAGGGTCCCGCGTCTCCTGGAAACTCCGTGCCCCACCCTTGAAGTCAAGCCATAAATGCCATTAAGGGCCTTTTATTCATATTTATCACACCAGAGATCATCTCTTTCTGGGAAGCTTTTCTAATTCCTCAGGATGGATTAGAACTCCCTCTGGGTCCCTGGCAACCTTCTCCAGGCTAGTGGCCCCAGGGGATCTACTGCCTCTCTGGGTCTCCGGCATGGCTCTTGGAGCACACAGTCATCAAGAAGTGCTTGGGGGAAGTGAGCTGTTTATTCAGACACAGCTCTGCTGAGTGGAAAGTGGGCACTGGCCCCATTAATGCTTGCTGGCTGGTGGTTTCCACAGCACTGTCCCCCCACCAAGGCTCGGTTCTGCAATCTGCCACTGCAGGTCCCTTGCACAGCCCCCAGGGTCCTTAAAAGTCATCATCATCACAGATGTCAAGGTACACGTCGAAAGCCTCTCTGTTGCAGTTTCCATCAGGAGTGAAGACATATTTGTGGAAGGTCCCATCTACGCAGATGGCTGGGGGAGAGGGGAGGAATGGTAAGTTTAGAGACTGCCACAGCCACACACTCCAGTCCTCTCAGGTGTCCCATGGCCTAGGGTCTACCTTCAGGCCTTTGCCCAAGTGCCATCCCCCTTACTAGTGATAGAATTGAGTCACACATTCTAGCTCCCTCAGGCTTCCCATGGCCCTAAAGTTCTTTCAGGTCCAACCTACAGGCCTTTGCCCATGCAGTACTTTCAACCAAGGGGCTATTCCCACTCACCAATGACAGAGTTGACGTTCTTGGAAGTATTGCGACCGAAGGCGCAGATGCAGGCTGACTCGGCAGGCACAGTGAAGCTCGCCAGGCTCCACTGAGAGTCCACGTACTGCCCAATCATAGGCCCCACCTTGCCCACACGAGCCAGCCTGTAGGCAGCACTGGCTAAGCCCAGGTGTGGTACATGGGCAGGGGGATGGGGATGGGGCGGGGGGCAGGGGGTACTCACGCGGAGCGGCGGTTGAGGCGGGTATCCTTGAGAGCAAAGATATGGACAGTGCCCTTATCACTGGAAGCGCAGAGGAAAGAGGAGTCGTGGCTGAAGTTAATGCTGGAAGACAGACCAGCAGTGATGCCTACACGTCATGCGGTGTGCGGTCACCAGCTCACCAGCATACCCTGTGCTCACCAGTAGAGGGTGGCAGGGTCAGTGCCTCGGCGCAGCTCCACCAGTTTCTCCTTGGACTGTGTGTCAAAAAGGCGAATGAGGGTGCCCTTCTGGGAGGCCGAAGCCACTACAGTGCCTGGCTGGTTCAGGGACACGCAGGCCACATCACTCTGATGTGCATTGATGGTGAATGGAGCAGATGAGGTGCCAGGCTTTGTGCTCGCCAGGTCCTAGGGGAGCAGTTTGGGCTCTAAGTGGTATAGAGGGGAGGGGCTGAGAATCCACAAGGAGAGCCAGCCCACCCACCTATCCACCCTTGCCTGATGGGCGGCTCACCACAAGTTGCAGACTCCCACACTTGTGTCCTGGGAAAACCAGCAGTTGCTTCTCCAGGCTAGGGCAGAGGTCACAAAGCCCTAGGGTGTGAGGGTAAAGGGGAGGTAGGGGCCAGGCAGGGTCTCAGAATGCACAGAACAAGATAAGGGCCAGATTTCAACCTTCCATGATATATGTTACCCACAGAACCCTTGGGGGCTTTGGCTCAGCTGCACTCCCCACCAGCTAGACAGATTCCTTTCCTCCCCATACAGCTGTGAGTTCTAGTAAGCGGCTATGACAGCCCCAGGAGGCCCAGAAATTTCTGAAACCCATCCATGTCCTCACTAGGTATAGAAGCTCTGCCATCTGGGGCAGGGCCGAGGGTGGGGAGAGAGAAGTGGCTGAGGGATGGGAAAATGGAGACTGCAAGTGTGAGCATCTCTGTACAAAGACTCTCTCCCTGCCTCTTCCCCAGTTTCTCTGTGTGTGTCCCCTTCTTTTCCCTCCTCTCTGCCCCCTGCACTGCCCACCATCTCACGCCCTTACACCTACACATCGGGGTCCTCTCACCCTTGGGGTTGTCCCGGGTGTCAAACTCAAACAGCTTTCGGGGGTTGTCGGGGAAGGAGTACACATAGATGCGGTTTCTCAGCACGATCACAATCCTGTGGGCATCACACAACACAGGGTGGCCATGAAGGGAGGGTGGCAAGCCTCTCACCTGTCGTGGGAACCTCCCACCTCCCACTCCAGTCCTTCTCAGGCTCACTTGTCATGGCGCATGCGCACAGCCAGCACTGGCTTGGTGAAGGTGAACTCCAGCACCAGCTTGTCCTTGGAGTCCTTGCCTTCCCGGGCATCATCCCAGATCAGCACTGCTGGGCAGGTGGGTTGGTTGTCGGGCCAAAGTTTAGGGTGAGGGGCAGCCCTGGTGACACAGGACCCACCCGTACCCCAACAGGACTTCAACCCACTTGCTTAGCGTTTCACTAGACACCCAATGTGAGCCTCACACAGCATGAACACTTGTGGACATGATTCCTGAGAGAACTGGTTCTAGAAATGTTATAGTCATTTACAGATGAGAAAACTGAGTTCAAGGGGGTTGAGTGTCTGGTTTAAGGACCTCATAGCCCCTCAGCAACCAAGTAGGGACTCTCACCCAGGCCTGTCACTTCCCCTTAGTAACGATTTCTGCCTCCAGGGTCCCAGTCCATACCCCCAGGAGATTTCTGTGAGGAATCCCAGGGCTCTGTGAAGGGTGACTCTTGCCATTTCCCAGTGAGATCAACAAGAAAAACCCTTAAAACAAGGTGGCATTTCAGACTCAAGCCAAGGGGGCTTTGGGGAGAGGGCTCCAAGATTTCTAAATCTATTGGTTGTGTGATCTTGGATAAGTCATTTAAGCTCACTGGGTCTCAATTTCCTCATGGGTAAAAATGGGGATAATGATACTTCCTGTCACATAGAGTTACTGTGCAGATTAAATGAGCTAATTCACATAAAGTTCTTAGAACAATACCAGGTTCACAGTAAGTGCTTCATAGGTAAAGACATGGCATACAGGAGACACTCAATAAGTGTTTTTTAAATGAAAACAAAACATCAAGCTTCTCAAGCTATAAGATCCATGACTTCCAAGCTGCAGGCCTTACTGCGAGACTTGGATGTACTCTGACAGCTTCATCTGTCAGTGCCTCTGGGTGCCTGTGGGAGGCCAGGAATCTGGGCCAAGGGCGGGTAGGATGAGGGCACTTACCTGAGATCTCTGAGAACTTGGGGCTGCTACCACCGCCCACCAGGGCCAGCAGGTTGGAGCGGTGCAGCATCTCCACCAGGCCCATGCTGCCCACCTGCTCGTGGTCTGGACAGGGACCAGGATGTCAGTGGAGGTAGGAGCCAATGCCAAGCCCAGCCCAATCATTCGGACTATTGCCCCTACCCCACCAACAGCTCACCCAGATGCCCCTTCTCCATCAATGGCTCCACATTGTAGATGCGAACACCTGTCTCCATGGCGCAGCAAAAGCAGCCTGGGGATAGAAGGAATCCAGACTGCCTCAAAGAATGTCAGAGTAGGAAGCTGGAGGCCCCTGGCCCACCTCTGACCCTTTTCTCCCTTTTACCCTCCCTCCCACAAGGGTACAGGCGCCAGCCTCTCTCACTTTGGTCTTGGTTGAAACGTAGGCTGGTCACTCCTCGAAGTGGCTGCTGAGTCATGTTCCAGGATTTCTCCCCTGGACAAAAATAGATAGAGTTAGGAAGAGTCTTGGGGCCTCCCCTCCAAGTCCTAGAACTCCTGTCCCCAAGTGATTCCTTCTTCCTCCTTCCACTTTGCTAACTACTGACCCTGGCAGGACTGCAAAGAAGAAAAAAACGGGAGGAAAGTCTTGGGTTCTCTGCTCTAAGCTCCCAAGACTCCAAACAGCATGGGCAGGAACCTCCCATTCTCTCACACTTGGCCAATCCCAGCTACAAGCCTACACTGACCTGGAAACCCCCTCCGCCCCCTGCCTTAGACACTGGCCCTCACTGACTTGTCAGGAAGTAATGGGGTAGGGGGTGCCCCAGTGATATCTCCTCCCCACGCCCAGCCAATCTTGGCCCCAATGCCCAACATGGCCTGGAACTGCTCCAGTTCTCATTTTCACACCTGGACTCAGCACCCAACTCCTCCCGCCAATAAATAGGAGATAGTGTGCTAGGACACCCACCTCTTCTTGCACCTCCTGACCTGGCCCTGAGACTGCTATGCTTGGTCCAACACCCACAGGAATTCCTCTCCTCATGCCCTTCTAACTCTATCTAACCTATTCAACCTCTCCAGAGTCTTCTCACACTTTCTCCCCTCAGATGTTTCCCCAAACCCCTTCAGGATTCCATACCTACCTTGGGATGGCCCTGCTAACTTGCCCAACCAGGGCCAGCCTAGATGTTCCCCCAGATCCCATTATGCCCTGAAGCCTCTATCTCAGGATTCCCTTGTTACTATAAATCCCCCACCCCTGGGATATCCCCTTCCTTGTGTTCTGCTGTCGACTCCAACATGACCTGGCCTGGACCCACCCCCAGAAACCCCATCTCCCTAAGATTCCTCCTGTAGACATCTTATCCTCTCCCCAAGACCCTGCCCCAGGGCACCCCTCAAGACACTTGCTCAGTATACACTACCCAAAACCCTTGCCTAGGAAAACCTCAACCCCCCAGATGCCTGCCTAGGCCCTCCTCGCAAGATTCCTGCCCCAGAGCCATCTTCCTTTCAGACCCTCAGCACTCCAAAACCTCTGCCCAGGCACACCCCCTTGTCCATCCTCCAAGAGCTCAAACCTCCTACCTTTCCTCCCCTGTAACACCCTCTACTGGATCGCTTCACTCCCATTTGTTGGACAGCTCCACCTTTCCAGACCCCTTTTTTGGACCTCCATTCCAAATGCCCGCGCCACCCAAGAAGCCTGCCCGGAATGCCTCATCCCTCTCCCAAGACCGCCCTCATATTCCTTCCAACACCAGCATCCACTCAAGACCCCTGTCCTAGACACCCCGTCTACCAAGACCCCTACTCAAAAGACCCCCAACCTCCCCCAGACACCAACCGACCCTGGGATCGTGCTCCAGCTCTTCACCAGCCTGACCTCCGCACGTCCCCGATCCCGGCCGCAGCTGTCGGTGCCGCCCGCGGCCCGGCTTTCTGACCTCCCGGGCCTTGGCGCCCGGCTCCGGTGTTTACATCAGGCCCCACTTCCGGGGGAGGGAGTCTGTGACCGGAAATGACTCATCCTGGGCCCGAAAAATGCGGCTGCAATCTTCCTCGTCCAGTTCGCCGGTATTGGAGCATCGCGAGCGATGGCGGAGTCCTCTGAGGAGGGCGTGGGGAGCGGAGGAAGGTCGGCTGGGGAACCGGAGGCGGAGGACGTTCCACAAGGGCAAGACTGACTGAGGCAACTGGAGAGGGATGGGAGACAGAGAGCGTCTTCCCCTCGCTAATCGGAAAAGGGCCGAGCATCAACAACTCGGTAACCCACGGCGAGCTAGAGGGGTTAACCTTCCGGGATAACAAGACTTGGACCTCCGAGGTGAGCTAGAGTAGCCTCTCTCTATTATGGAGTCAATCCCAGACTTATCTACAGAGGAGGCTTCGGAGGCTCGAGGTGGGGGCAGATCTGGAGACCTTCAAAGTTGAGACTATCCCCTTGGCCAGGGAAAGCCAGGGATGGGATTTTGCTTTCTTTCTCCCTGCCCCCACCCAGCTGTTTTATTTACAAAATGAAAAATAGTTTTTTTGATGGTAAAAGGTATGAATGCTTCCTGTGGGGGGGGGGAAAGCCCTCAAATTATGTACATACTTGGAAGTGTTTTTAGTTAAATTTTAAAATTATGAGATAAGTGTAGATTCACACGCAGTTGTAAGAAACAATACAGAGAAATAATTTTATTAAAATCAGGATATTGGGCCGGCCCGTGGCTCGCTCGGGAGAGTGTTGTGCTGATAACACCAAGGCCACGGGTTCGGATCCCATATAGGGATGGTCGGTTTGCTCACTGGGTGAGCGTGGTGCTGACAACACCAAGCCAAGGGTTAAGATCCCCTTACCGGTCATCTTTAAAAAAAAAAAAAAAAAAAAAATCAGGATATTGACATTGATACAATCCACCCATCCTTTACTTTTTCTTGACGTATTGTTTGGATGCTTTTATTTTTTCATATATTAATATATGAGGATATCTGCTTAACTCATCCTTTCATGATATTCTGTGGTGTAAATGTAGCATCATTCAGCTCTTCCCCTATTGTTGGCCATCTAGGTGGTTTCAGGTACTATGTTGTCCACATCCATGGACACAATTACTTGTCAATTTTAACCCCATATACACCAGCAGGCATGACTGCGTTGTTGTGCTCCTCAGCAAAGCCAATCTTCTGGCTTCCTTCAGTCTCCACTTCCTCATGACCCAGACTACATTTAACTCACTTCAGTCTGGCTTCTGTCACTCTCCTGTCTCTGAGACTTCTCTTACCCAGATCACTGAGGAATAAATAATAATCTTGCCTATGCAGCAATCACTTCTTTGCCCTCTACTGTGACCTCCTAATGCACTCCAGTTTCTTGCTGTCACTCTTGGTTTTCTTCTCCATCCCTGGCTACTCCCTCCACTTGTATCCAATTTTCAATTATTGAAATATCCTTTGGTATGATCCTGGCCCCCTTACTTTTGTAGCCAATATTCTCTCCCTAGGTGACTTCATCTTGTCTCATAGCCTTAATTATAGCAAATATTTGGAAGATGTACTAATTTAGTTCTCCAGCCTAGACCTCTCTCCTAAATACCAGACTCACATATACAGTGACGACCTGTTTGACATGTTTAGGTAGATGTCTCATAAAGTTTATGCACCCAAACAGATCTCTTGCATTTCCCTTGCTCAAACATCCTTCTCCTGTCTCCCTCATCTCAACCAATGGCACCACAATACCCAGTTTGTCACCAAAGAGCAGGTATATCATGTTTAATTCCCCTCTGTTGTCACTGGCAGATGCTGTTTGTTCCACTGTCAAAAGATATCATGCATTTATTTGGATCCCCATACTGGCCAGTTGCCAAAAACCAAAAACATATCATACACTTTTAGTTAAGGTGGAGTAACAGGGACCAAATTTGTCCTCTCACATGAAACAACCAACTCCTCTCCCCCTGCAAAAGCATATAAAATACATGAAACAACGACTTTTGAGAGGCTAGACACCAGGCTGTGAAGGACAGTGATCCCTGGAAAATGGGAAAAAAAGGTGAGCCCTACAGCTGCCCCAGCATACTACCTGGAGAATTTCCATGTACAGGAAGGGGAGACTGAGGCAGAGCCTGGTGGACTCCGTAAGTTGAGATGGTCTAGAAAGACAAAGCAGCTAGAGTTCAAAGGACAGAAATATCAGGAGAGAGCTGCATACAGAGATCTGCAGAGGGCAAAGTATTCAGCAAAGTACTTATTGCTGGTAATGCCAAGGTCACGGGTTTGGATTCCCATATCAGCCGGTCGCCAAAAGAAAAAGTATATCTCAAGCAAAGTGCTTATCAACACATGCATATGACAAACTACCCAAGGCCAGGAAAAGAACCATCCAAAGGGATTAGAGGGAACAGGGCCTGGCACTCACAAGGCTGAGAATAGTGCCTGCTCCCACCAGCCAGACTGGAAAAACTCATGATTCACAAGGCATAGAGTACACAGGAAAGCCTCGCCTTAGTTGTGGGGAATAATTAGCCCTAGACTTAGTACTGCTCCAGACCCACTTAATAAATCATAAAAGGAAGACCTCAAAAGATCTATAGGAATAAAAAAAATCCAGTACCTAAAAAGGTAAAATTTACAATGTCTGTTGTATTAGTCCATTTTGTGTTGCTATAGTAGAATACCTGAGACTGGGTAATTTATAAGGAAAAGAGGTTTATTTGGTTCACGATTCTGGGACAGCTGCATCTGGCACGGGCCTCAGGCTGCTTCTACTCATGGCGGAAAGTGGCAGGCAGCTGGTGGATACAAACAGATCACATGGAGACAAGAAGCAAGAGAGTGAGAGAGCGAGAGCGAGCGAGAGAGAGAGAGAGAGAAGGAGGGAGGGAGTGAGGGAGAGAGTGAGAGGTGTCAGTGTTTTGTTTTGTTTTTTCTTTTTGTCTTTTTTCGTGACTGGTAATGGGATCGCAACCCTCAGTGTCGTGCCCGCAACGCGACCAGCAACAGGATCGCAACCCTCAGTGTCGCGCCCGTACCACGCTCAACCAGTGAGCGGACCGGTCTCTATATGGGATCCGAACCCTTGGCGGGAGCGCTGCCGTGCTCCCAAGCGCTGCACTCTACCGAGTGCGCCACCGGCCCGGTCCGAGGTGTCAGTGTTTTAAACAACCAGCTCTCGTGGGAACTAATAGGGCAAGAACTCACTACCTTCAGCCCCCAGGGAGAGCATTAATCCGTTCATGAGGGATCTGCCCCCATGACTCAAACAGCTCCCAACACTGTCACATTGGGGATCAGATTTCCACATGAGTTTGGGGAGGACAACATGTTCAAACTCTGTCATCTGTTATCCAAACAAAGGTTGCTAGGCATAAAAAGAAGCAGAAAACACATGCAACAGGGCTGGCCCGTGGCTCACTTGGGAGAGTGTGGTGCTGATAACACCAAGGTTGCAGGTTCGGATCCCTATATTGGGATGGCTGGTTAGCTCAGTTGGGAGAGTGTGGTGCTGACAACACCAAGTCAAGGGTTAAAATCCCCTTACCGGTCATCCTTTTTAAAAAAGAAAAAAGAGAACACATGCAACAACATGGATGAACCTTGAAAATAGCCAATCATAAAGAACCATATACTTGATTTCATACAGTATATGGCTAGACTCCTATCTGCTTCTGCATTCAGTCTCTTGTGATATCATGTATCTTGTGACCTCAGGAAACCCCTACTATACACTTGTGAGAGAATGAGCGTGAAGAGGGCAAATAATGTCTTAGTATATTAAAGGGTCTCAGGGACTCCCAGGGATTCCCATACCACACTCAGAAGTACATAAGTGAGCTGTTAAAGCTTCTGGTTGTAAAGGTACCACTCCACTGTCACCTGCACAATGAATGTTTTACCTCACCTTTTTCCCTAGAGCAAATAGGGCTTAATATGTTACTTGAATTAAGATGGGTTCCTAAGTCTTTAAGTCCTTTTTACTTTGCTTTTCAATCCAGTGGTCTGGTTATTTACTTAATGTTGTGTATCAACAGAACAGAGAACAAAGAATGATGCATATTCCTGTCATACAAAGTTATTATGAGGAGGGGTGTCAGGATTGAAAAGGACAAAATTCCAATGACCTAGTAAGTTGAAATCCAAACATGGATGAAAGTTTAGGCATTCCAGATTTGTGGAAATAGTTGTAAGTATATCTCTGTATAAGTCTTCCTCAAAACATGACTCTTGAAGCTAAAAAGTACTCTGCTCAGACCCCAGTTGGGCCAGCTTTAATATTAGTGTCCCTTCTTGGAACATTTGACCTTTGTAGGTGTGACTCACTGAACTACAACAATTTCCTTCCTCTAATGCATCCTAGAAAACGGATTCAGTTTATGGATTGAGGAATTTTCACTCTGATGTTCTGAGGTAGCTTTTTTTTCCTTGGCAGCTGTCTGGTACAGGGATGCAAACCCTTGACCCAGTGTTATAACACTGTGTTCTAATCAACTGAGCTAACAGGCCAGCCCTAACTATTATGTTTTGAAAAGTAACATCCTAATTTCCACATGCCTTCATTTAATAACTATTCATTGAACATTCATTCATTCATTTATCCAACAAATATTTACTGAGTGCCTAAAATATGCCAGGCATGCTGTACTAGGTGCTGGGAATAGAACAGGAACCAGAACAACATCCTTGTCCTTGAGAAAGATGATGAATACATACATACATACATACATACATACACACACACATATATATATATATGCATATATATGTATGTACTATGGAGAGAAAAAGGATTAAGAGATAGGAAGGGCTAGGACAGGGGTTGCTATCTTATTTAGAGTGGTCAGAGAAGCTTCTCTAATTGTTGGAGTGAACAGGACTGAAGCCATGTTGAGAGCTAACACTGCACGGGTTGTAGGTAAATTTTAACAATGCAGACTTTTTTCCTTGGCATGCCTTTCTCTGAGTTCCCTCTTTTCCCTTGGTTATTTGATATTTTGAACCTTGGTTATGGGGCAGGATAACATTATTTACATGAATAAAAAGTTTTCCAGGGCCGGCCCGGTGGCTCACTCGGGAGAGTGCGGTGCTGATAACACCAAGGCCCCGGGTTCGGATCCCATATAGGGATGGCTGGTTCGCTCACTGGCTGGGCGTGGTGCTGACAACACCAAGTCAAGGGTTAAGATCCCCTTACCGGTCATCTTTTAAAAAAAAAAAAAAAAGTTTTCCAATCAGTCTGAAGCTACAGACTTGCCAGAAGGCATGTAATATCAAGCAGGACCCCGAGATAACAAAAGGATGGGAGCAGAAATCAGATGGAGTCTTGGTGAGACCTTGCACCTGGCTCCTTGCATGGACACCCCTCCCCACAGCTCACATCCCCCTCCCTCCTGCCTTGCATTTACCACTTTCCATACCCTCAGCCCACTCTTTAAAAACGTCTCAGTAAACCTGAGTCTTTGAGATGGCTTTAACCTGACCATTCTCCTTCAGGTTTACCAGAGAGATGGGTTAGCCCAACATCTCTCCTGAGGTCACCAGTATTCCTGAATAAAAGCTGACTTCCATTTTCACCAACGTTTAACTTTGGAGTGGTTTGTTTTTGAAAGGGAGGAGGCAGCCCCTGATAACATAATGAGGTGACATTTGAGCAGAGACCTGAAAGAAGTGAGAGAGTGAGCCTTGTGGACATTTGGGGGAGGAACATTCCTGGAGGAAGGAACAGCAAGGATATCAGTGTGACTTGATCAAGTGAGGTCACAGTGGTATGGGGGGCAGGCAGATCAGAGTGTGGAATATACTATAAAGCATATGTACCTCACAGGGCGTGGTTTTCCAAAGTCTTGCAGTTTCAAATATTGACCTTGCAGAGGACTGGAAATTTTCCTCAGGCTATAAGTCTCTGGTGTAAGATAAAGATTTGTGGCACAGCAAGGTTGCTGGCTCAAGGACAGACTAGTTACTGATTGTTAGGTAAAGATACTGAGGGGCCGAGCCTGTGGTGCACTCGGGAGAGTGCGGCGCTGGGAGCGCAGCAGTGCTCCCGCCGCGGGTTCGGATCCTATATAGGGATGACCGGTGCACTCACAGCGCTCACTGGCTGAGCACGGTGCAGCCGGTCTCAAAAAGGACAAATAAATAAATAAATAAATAAATAAAAATAAAGATACTGAGAAATTGCTGTAAGATCACTTAATTGTCTAATGGAATGTCATCTGGCTTGTTTCAATGAAAGTTACAAGCCTATATTGTTAAACTATAATCCCACCTATGTTCTCTTCCTGTAACTTCCTGGTCTGGAAAATAAATGCGGGAAGAGAACCCCAATTTGGTGTTAATTTCCCGAGGAAGGGTTGCCTCTTGCTGGAGTCCCCGGGAAGTTAACTGCTTTAGGGTCTCTCACTGCTCAGAAGAGATGGGCTTTGAGTAATCCTTTGCATCTCCGTCACCCAGGGGAAGTGGGGTGACAAATCTGTGGGAGCAAAGCAACACAAAGCAACAACAGAGGACTTTGTAGGCCATTTAAAAGGCTTTTGCTCCTATTCTGAGTGAAATAGGGAGCCACTGGGGGCCAGTGGTGGGGGTTGGAGCAGAGGAGGGAGACACGATGAGACAGACTTCCTTTAATTTTTGGTGGGGGTGTATTAGATTGAATTATGTCCCCCCAAAACTCCCTGGAGCTTGAATTGTATTCCCCAAGTTTTATGTATTAGAAACTTATCCCCCACTGTGACTGTTAAGAGGGTGGGAAATCCTATTATGGTAATTGAAAGGTGGAGCCTTGAAGAGGTGATTGGATTATAGGACCATGCAGTAGTGAATGGATTAAAAATGGTGGTCAGGGGCGTGGTTCTGAGGGCTTTAAATCAAGAGGAGAGTCTGTCTCTCTCTCTCTGCTTCCACAATCTTGCATTGTGAGGCCCCTGGGTCACTGTCACCACCACCAGATGGACTTTGGACTTGCCAGCCTCAGAAACTGTAAGCAATAAATTTCGTTTTCTTATAAATTACCCAGTTCCATGTATTCTGTTTTAAGCAACAAAAACGGACTAATACATAAGGACACTGGTCTTGTTGGATTAGGACGCTGCCCTACTGACCTCTTTTAACCTTTATTACCTCCTTAAAGGCCCTACCTCAAATACAGCCACATTTGAAGTTAGTACTTCAACATGTGAATTTGGGGGTGGGGCACAATTCAGTCCATAACACTATCTTAACAAAGATAGATGAACTCCTCATGTAACACTGGAATTATAAGAGAATTATAGAAGGGCTGGCCGGTTAGTTCAGTTGGTTAGTGCACAGTGTTTTAACAGTGAGGTCAAGGGTTCAGGTTCCCGTACAGGCCAGCTGCCCCGCCCACACTCACCCCCCCAAAAAAGGCTATTACTAATGAATCAGAAAAAAACCTCTTGAAAGGGTGAATATTTTCTTTCTTTCTTTTTTTTTTTAAAGATGACCGGTAAGGGGATCTTAACTCTTGACTTGGTGTTGTCAGCACCACGCTCAGCCAGTGAGCGAACCGGCCATCCCTATATGGGATCCGAACCCGTGGCCTTGGTGTTATCAGCACTGCACTCTACCGAGTGAGCCACAGGCCGGCCCATGGGGTGAATATTTTCGAACACTGAAAAAAATAGATTCAGTAACAAATCAAGGAAAATCAAAAAGTAAAAAAAAATTCTTTTAAGAGATTTTTGCACACAGAAAGAGAAATACCAGGACCAGCCCGTGGCTCACTTGGGAGAGTGTGGTTCTGATAACACCAAGGCCACGGGTTCGCATCCCTATATAGGGATGGCCAGTTAGCTCATTTGGGAGAGCGTGGTGCTGACAACACCAAGTCAAGGGTTAAGATCCCCTTACTGGTCATCTTTAAAAAAAAAAAAGAAACTTTCTCTTCAAGTTGCTTGTAATGAAGGTCTGTGTCAGGGGGGTCGATGAGGGTGATGAAGTTCTTATAATTTAAAGGGCTACAGACTTAAAAGACCAGCTATATTTATTCAAGGTTTTTTTTTTCTAAAGCATCTCAATCTATTTAAATAGGCTCATTCTTTTATTAATAAGCTAAAGATTTTATTTTGTTCTGCCCTTTCTTTTTTACTTGTAATACTTTTGGGTGTGTTTCTTTAAATGAGACCATACACTTTATTGTATGTTTGGTTATACCATAGTGTAACCATTAGGGCAAGATCCCAAACAAAAACAGATGCACCCCTCACCTCCTATGGCCCCTGACTGGAGGTACTAAACTGAAGTGTATATGTTACAAACCCTGCCTCCCTCAGAAACATTCAGTGATGAAGTGCCCAAACTTTAACTGAACCTTTGATGTGTTCCACCCAGCACCCCAGTGTGTACATACACACTTAAAATAAGAATCTTTCTCCGGACCAGAGCTGATAGAAAGGACGATTTGTGTTTCAACAAAGGAGGCAGTACTGAGCATAGAGTTGGAGTTTCCAAGCTAATTTAGGGAAATTGTCCCTGCGTGCTGAAGGCAGGGGGCTCAGGGTTCAGACCTCCTAAATCGGGCACCAAGGTAAATAATCAACAGTCCCCTCCCCTTCAGCATGTGACTGACCCAGGACAGTGAACTGGGGCCCCACTGCTTCATCTACATCAACTATATGAGAGGACTTCAAAAAGTTCGTGGAAAAAATAGAATTAAAAGATAATACGAATCTTTTTACGAACTTTCGGTAGCATCTTCGTATCTATATCCTTATGAATCACGTATTTATACATATTCATATACTTTTATGATGCATGTAATATATACTTGTATTTTAATTTACATATACATAAAATGTAAAAATTGGAAACTTCAAAATAGGTAACTGACTGCATTACCTACGACGTGTGTTAAAAAACACGTGTCAAGGCCGGCCGGTTTGCTTATTCAGTAGAGCTTGGTGCTGAGAACACCAAGGTCAAGGATTCGGATCCCCATATTGGGCAGCCGCCAAATCAATCAATCAATAACACGTGTCAATGCCAGCAATCCCGTCCATCTGGCCGGGCCATATGCTCCAAAACCATCACTTTCCCTGGGGGAAAACTTTTATTCCCTTCGTCAAAAGCCCCGCCAGTTAGGGCTCGTTTATGTGTTTTTAATTTTTGCTGTTGGTCGGGGCGGAGATTCGAACCCTTACCTTGGTGTTACAAGCTGGCGCTCTAAGGGGCTTTTTTATTTTTCATTTATTTTTTCTTTTCCTTTCTTTCACTTAGGGATTTTTATCTGCTGTAAACTTTGTAACTGTCAGAGGAGCAAAATTAATATGATTTTAGTACATCGTATCCAAAGACCACAGCATGTTTACTGACATTTATGGTGTTGGGAGAACCAGACACCCACTCTGCCCGTCCTACTCCGGTAGATCCAAGCTCAAAGCAAAACTTTCTGTTTTGAGAAACTAGAAAATAAATGAATTTAAGCAGGACTGGGCTCAGGCAGAAAACCCTACTGGGTTTGTCGGAGGTTAGGGTGGAAGCGCTCCGCGCACCAGGCGCCACGCCGTGGCGTGTGGGCTCACTAACCCCGAACAGTAAGCACCCTCTTCCAACCCTTTACAGGTGAACAAACCGGACCCAACACCCCCAAAACCGGCTTCCGGAGCGGGAGCACAGGGATGGCTTCCACTGCTCGTGCCCGGCAGCCACTGCGCATGCCCCCACGCTGTGGCCAATGGGAGCCCGGCGCGCAGGAGCGGAGGCGGGACTATGTTGTTCCCGAGGCCACGGCAGTTCCCGACAACAGCAGGGACCGGAATTCGGTCATCGGCCAATCAGAGCCCACAAGGGCCCGCCCCTGAGCCAATTGCCTGCTCGGGTGCGGTGAAAGCTGATTCAAAATAAAGGATCGAGGCGGTTGAGAGGCGTTTACCTGGCGGATGTGACGGAGGCCGAGGGCGGGTCAGAGAGTGGCTGCCCGAGGCCGATGGGAGTCGGGAGGATGGGACGGAGACTTTGGGTCGCGCAAGCCGGTCCCCGTGTGGAGATGAGGCTCCGTCGGTATTCCTCCCCCACTAGCAAAATAGTGCATTGCCAGATGGCCGCCCTCCCCAGGGGTATGCTCCTGGGGGGACTGTTCCGTTTCTGCGCTCCTCCCCACGGCCGCTGTGGTCCACTCCAGGCTGCAGGTTATCACTCCCGGGGTCCCACAGTCTGGGGGAGCGGTCAGCCCTGGGGTCCCACAGACGGGGGGAGCGGTCAGCCCTGGGGTCACAAACAACATAGAAGTGCCAGAGCCAGGCTGCTGGGTTCCAGACTGTGTGGTTCACCCACTGAACCGTTCTCGTCTCTATACGTCTCTGCTCACCCTGTCCTCACCTCTCTCCACCAGGACTGAGGGGCCCTAAAGCACCCATTTTCCCATAGCATCTGTGAACAGTGTAGACACCAGTGTGGAAGGGGGGGCTCTGTGCGCCCTGAGTTGTTTTTCTTCCCCCTTTCCCCAGGCAGGGGGCGTGAATCCTCGTAGGAAGAGGGCAGTAAGTTACAGCATGGATGTCTAAACGGTACAATTATTGGTTTATTGCACGCAGGTCTTGTGCTAGGTGGTGGGGACAGCACAATGATCAAGACAGAAAAGGGTCCTGTTCCTGCCTGCTCTGGGGGCGCGTTTGGGAATTCCTGGCAGGCAGATTTTGGTTGTCACGATGGGGGTGCTTTGGCATTAAATGGGTAGGAGACTGATGCTGGGGGAAAGCCCTGCACCACCAAGACTTGTAACATGCAGGAATGTCATGTCAGGATGGTAATATGAATAATATGAAAATTGATATGAAACATGATGAATAAATCACTATATTACAAATGGGAAAACTCATTCTATTATGGACTTAAATAACAAAAATCTGCTTTAGGTTTTTTATGTAAGAAAAACAGTTTTAAGCCAGTCTGCTACTTAGAAGAACAGGAAGTATACTACTTTTATTTTATTATTATTATTTTTTTGTCTTTTTCGTGACCGGTAAGGGGATTGCAACCCTTGGTGTGGTGTCGCCCACACCGTGCTCAGCCAGTGAGCGCACCGGCCATTCCTATATAGGATCTGAACCCGCCGCGGGAGCGTCGCTGTGCTCCCAGCGCCGCACTCTCCCGAGTGCGCCACGGGCTGGGCCCTGAAATATACTACTTTTAAATGTTAATTTAAGAAGCAACCAGCAAATGTAGCAGAGGCTTAGTGTCCCTTGATGTAGAGTTAGTTAAAGGGGACAGAGCTGGGGGCAGAGAAAGAAGGAGCAGAAGAACAGAAGACATAGAGAAGGAAAAGAAGAATTTCATCTTGGCCCTCATGCGGCACCTAACAATTTAGGAACCATTTCTCACATAATTGGCCTCAGCTCCTCCACTCACAAGCTGTGTGACCTTGGGCAATTTACCTAAGCTTCTCTGGGCCTCAGCTTCCCCATCAGTAAAATGGGGATAACAGTACTGTTTACTTCATGGGGTCATCTGTGAGCATTAAATGAGTTAAGAAATGTAAAGCACTTAGAAAATTCTCAGAAATCACTAAATCAAATTAGACATTATTATTAGTCCCTCATTCGTCCCTTCAATACACATTTATTGTGTGTCTAGTTTGTGCCAGGTACTGAAGATATTCTTGTCATACAGCACTCAACGAGCAGTGTTCAAATGAACGAATGTAATGGCTTTTTAAGGCCAGGAAGGGGTTTGCCATAATCAACACATTAGAAGGCACTCCAGGCCTGGATATATGAAGTAACCTGCTGGTTTGGTGGCCCCATAAGCTGCGTTGTGAGGGGAAGGAGCGGGGGAGGTTGGAATTGCCACACCAGAAGGGCTGCAAGCCTAGATTTAGGAGAGAGGCTTTGAACTTGCGGGTGTGGGATAGCCACAGAGGTTTCCAGGCAGGACTGGGGGTCCCACCTGGAGACATGCTGTTTCCGTTTCAGGTACCTGGGAATGTCAGTCAAAACCCAGACCTGCCCAACTCTCCAAAGCTGCTGTCCCTGTGCCTGAAAGCTTCATGTCCCCGCATGGCCTACCTCATAGATGGGGAAATGGAGGCCCAGGGAGGCGTGGGGACTGAGCTGGTATTTACTTGGGGAAACCCTCTGGCATTATCTGGACAAGCTATACGTTGACCAGGAGGTGTGCACAGGAGTGGACACTGTGACCTTGCTCCTACCAGCAAGAGCCAGAAAGAACCTGAATGTCTTGGTAATAGGAGCCTGTGGATAAACAAGTTACACGTATATACCACAAAATACTCTGTAGCAGTGGAAATGAACAACTTGCTAGAGGCCAATGTGAATCATAGAAACAGAGGAACAGATGGGAGAGAAGGTGTGAAAAACAGGGAGAAGAGTGCACATGCCAGACTCAGCCTGCTGGGCCGGCGATTGGGTTCTCTACTTGCTAGCTGGGACTATTGGGCAAGTCATTAAACCACTCTGTTTCTCGGTTCCTACATCTGTAAAATGGACATGGTAATGGTATGTATCCCACCAGCTGTAATGAGATTTAAATGACGGAAAGTATTTTAAATGCAAAAGAGTAATAACAGTGCCAGGCATACACATTAAGTGCTACATGAGTGTTAAAAGTAGAATGTTGAGTGGGGAGAAAGCAAATCTCTGAAGATTACATACTGCTATGGCTTCAATGTTTGTCCCCTCCCAAATTCATGTTGAAATTTAATTGCCATTGTAACAGTATTAAGAGGTGGGACCTTTAAGAGGTGATTAGGCCATGAGGGCTCTGCCCTCATGAATGAGTTAACACCATTATTGCTGGAATGGGTTCCTTATAAAAGGACAACTTTGGCTCCCTCTCTGGCTCTCTCTCACCCTCTTGCCCTCCATCATGTGAGGACGCAGAAAGAAGACCCTCACCAGATGCTGGCACCTTGATCTTGGACTTCCCAGTCTTTAGAACTGTGAGAAATAGGGCTGGCCCGTGGCTCAGCTAGAGTGTGGTGCTAACACCAAGGCTGCGGGTTCGGATCCATATATAGGGATGGCTGGTTAGCTCATTTGGGAGAGCGTGGTGCTGACAACACCAAGTCAAGGGTTAAGATCTTCTTACCGGTCATCTTTAAAAAAAAAAAAAAAAACTGTGGGAAATAAATTTCTGTTCTTTATAAATTTCCCAGTTTCAGGTATTCTGTTATAGCAGCACAAAATGGACTAAGACACATATTTTTAAAAAGTTCGAAAACAAGAGAACAAGGCATCCAGATTGGAAAGGATGAAGTCAAACTGTCCCTGTTTGCAGATGATATGATCCTATATATCGAACAGCCCAAATCATCTACTAAAAAACTCTTAGAGGTGATAAAAGAGTTCAGCACAGTAGCAGGATACAAAATCAACACACAAAAATCAGTAGCATTTCTATTCACCAATAGTGAACAAGCAGAAAGAGAAATCAAGAAAGCCTGCCCATTCACAATAGCCGCCAAAAAAATAAAATACCTAGGAATTGAACTAACTAAGGACATGAAAAATCTCTATAACGAGAACTATAAGCCACGCCTGAGAGAAATTAGAGAGGATACAAGAAGATGGAAAGACATCCCATGCTCCTGGATTGGAAGAATCAACATAGTGAAAATGGCCATTCTACCCAAAGTAATATACAAATTCAAT